GGTTGGGACTCCCAGCCACACCCCCCACCCCTGCAAGGCTTCTGGGCAAATCACAGGCTCCCAGCACCGGTCGTGGCCCAGCCTTCCAGCCGCTCTCCCCGCCCACGCCAGGCTTCCATCCGGTGCGCAGCTGGAAAAATCAGAAAATACCGGACATTGCACGTGTCCAGTATTTTCTGTTGTTTTTTTTTACTGGACAGAGCTAGACTACTGGGACACCTGGCAGCCCTACTGAGGGTTAGGAAATTTTTCCTGATGTCCAACCTAAACCTCCCTTGCTTCAATTTAAGCCCAGTGCTTCTTGTCCTGTCCTCAGAGGCCAAGGGGAACAACCTTTCTCCCTCCTCCTTGTGACACTCTTTTAGATAGTTGAAAATTGCTTTCAGGTCCCCTCTCAGTCTTCTCTTTTCTAAACTAAACAAACCCAATTCTTTCTGTCTTCCCTATAGGTTGCATTTTCTAGACTTTTAATAATTTCTGTTGCTCTTATCTGGACCTTTTCCAATTTCTCCACATCTTTCTTGAAATGCGGTGCCCAGAACTGGACAAAATACTCCAACTGAGGCCTAATCAGCTCAGAATAGAGTAGAAGAATGACTTTTTGTGTCTTGCTCACAACACTACTGTTAACGCATCACGGAATCATGTTCACTTTTTTTGCAGTAGCATCACACCATTGATTCATATTTAACTTGTGGTCTACTATGATCCCTAAATCCCTTTTTCCAGTACACCTTCCTAGACAATCACTTCCCATTCCGTAGGAAGGAACAGTCAGTTTCACACCTAAGTGGAATACTTTGTATTTGTCCTTATCAAAATTCATTCTGTTTACCTCTGACCATTTCTTTGGTTTGTCTAGATCATTTTGATACTATCTTCCAAAGCACTTGCAACCCCCCAGAGTTTGGTATCATCTGCAAACTTAATAATCACACTCTCTATGCCAATATCTAAATCATTGATGAAGATATTGAACAGAACTGGTCCCAAAAAGAACCCTGCAGAACTCCACTTGTGATGCCCGTCCAGCATGACTGTGAACTGTTAATAACTACTCAAAGTGGTTATCCAGACAGTTATGCACCCACCCGATTATGGGAATAGCATTCCTCCCATAATCAGGTGGAAGGAGCAGCATGATCCTTTAGTGACTCCTTCCAGATCCTAGCAGGTGGTGTGTAAAGTCCTTAACGTGTCCTATTCTGTCTGATGTCCTACTGTACCATTTAACACCAGAGTTTATACCCAGCCTTTGCTGCTATGCTTATGCAGCCTCAGTAACTGAGCATGAATTGGCAGGCAGGCACTCGCATTTTTTGCACACACAAGCAGGCTGTAGTTTAAAAGTAGTGCCAGCAACACAATCATATAATTAACCGAAGTCACCACATAAATATATTACTGTAATTCTTCTGCTTCCTGCCTCTTCATTTTTTTATCCCTACTCTTTGCTGCATGAGCTCCAAAATGAGATTATATGCTCCCTGAATCAGGGACAACATAAGTGAACTCCTGGCTTCACTGAAATCAATGATAAAACTTCCATTGACTTCGGGTGAGGGCAGGATTTCACGTTGTGTCTTATTTTTTGTAAAGTGCTTAGCACGTGAGGTACTGGATAATAATAGTCGTACGAGGGCAGGTGTGCACGTACCATGCCCTCCCTTTCTCATGTATGAAAACTTTCCCATAGTTTCTCTTGAGCCTTCTGCAGCACTCCTATCTTCTCAGTAGTCTTCTCTGCCCGCCTTTATTCCATATGGAAAAAGAAAACTCCCACCAAAGTGGCACAGAAGAAAGTTTGGTCAAGTGGGTTGCACCCTTGGACTCAGTGTCTTGTTCTTTTACTTTGAGAACAGGCTGATTCTGTGTGACTTTGGAGTTTCCAGTCCCTTTCTTTTAGAACACAAAATTAAATATTTAAAAACAAAGGGCAATCCATGCAACAGTCATTACTGTGACAACTGCCTATTAAAGTTCTGGAAGCACGTATTGGCACTCTGCTACTGTGTTGCCAGCTGGTGTGAATAGCAGTCAGTTACCTTGCTAAAGAGAGGGCTGCCTTGCTAAGTCAGCCCTATCTGTCACTTAACATATGTTGCCTTTATTTATTCTGACTTCATTCCTGGGTCAGAAAACTGTTATCAAGTAAAATAGATTCTGGCTGATAATCACATTGATGGAGATGTTCAAACAACTCTGAAGGGGCACGCACATGAGAGAGAGGGAAATGACTAGCTTGGTGTAAATAGCTTGTGCTGTTGGGGAAAAGTTTCCTTGGCTTATTGATTTTTCTTGTCATTTATAGATTGGTAAAATCTATGAAATGAGAATGATGATGGACTTCAATGGAAACAATAGGGGATATGCCTTTGTAACATTCGCTAATAAACAGGAGGCTAGGAATGCAATCAAGCAACTGAATAATTATGAAATCAGGTAAGCATGACTGGTATGTCTGTATACATTTGCAATAAAAAAATTATTACTGTTTTATTATACGCTGAAGTTTTCCTATGACCTGCAAAATGTCTGTATAGTTATTTAACCCTTAAAAATGACACCATCCACTCTACAATCAGTCACTTTTCCTATTGACAAAAAGACACTTATAATTAGTTAGTTGGAAATTTCTCGATGAAGCATTTAAAAAACAGATAGATCTATAGAAATGTTCTTTTGGTAATTTCATAACTTTTTATTTTGACTCTTTCCTTTAGTTGAGATTAGCTTACATTTCAAAATAAAAAGTAATTTCAAACTTTCTGGTTTGAACTTTCAATTAATAAAGGGTGAAAATGAAATATTTTAAGAATGTGAACAAATTTAACAGTTTTTACTTGAAAATCTCTCAAACCATCTCTCTCCTGTAAGTTTTCATTTTGACAAATCTGCATTTTCTAATAAAAATTTATATTGATGAAGAATTCCAGATCAGCTCTACTGATAATCCTATTTTAGCTCCTGGGGAGCAGGAAGAGCTGTTGACGAGCCCCTCCTGTGCTTTGTGGGGAATTGTGGAGTGGGCAGGGGGTGCTTCTTAGGTTCACCTAAGAACAGCCATACTGGGTCAGACCAAAGATCTATCTAGCCTAGTATCCTGTCTGCTGACAGTGGCTAATACCAGATGCCACAGAGGGAAGGATCACAACATGTAATTCTCATATGATTCCTCCTCTCACTGTCACCCGCTTCCAGAGAAACAGATGCTAAGGGATACCATTCCTACCCATCCTGACTAATTGCCTTTGATGGACGTAATTGAATCTATCTAGCTCTTTTTTGAACCCTGTTAAAGTCCTAGCCTTCACCACATACTCTGGCAGAGTTCCACAGGTTGACTGTGTGCAGAGTGAAGAAAAACTTCCATTAGTTTGTTTTAAACTTGCTACCTATTCATTTCATTTGGTGACCCCCTACTTCTTATATTTGGGAATAAATAAATTATGTTTCCTTATTCACTTGATCCATGTCAGTATTGATTTTATAGATCTCTATCATATCCCCCCTTAGTCTCCTCTTTTCTAAGATGAAAAGTCCAAGTCTTTTTAACCTCTCTTCATATGCGACCCGTTCCAAACCCCTAATCATTTTGTTGCCCTTTTCTGAACCTATTCCAATGCCAATATATCTTTTTTGAGGTGAGGCGACCTCATCTGTACGCAGTATTCATGATGTGGGTGTACCATGGTTTTATATAACGGCAATAAGATATTTTCCATCTTATTCTCTATCCCTTTTTTAATGTCTCCTAACATTCTATTTGCTTTTTTGACTGCCGCTGCACACTGAGTGGATGTTTTCAGAGAACTATCCACAATGGCTCCAAAATCTCTCTTGAGTACAGTAGTTGTAACCAAATTAGTCTCCATTATGTTGTGTATATATAGTTGGGATTATTTTTTCCAATGTGCATTACTTTACATTTATCAGCATTACATTTCATTTGCCAATTTGTTGCCCAATCACTTAGTTTGGTGAGATCTTTTTGAAGCGCAACACAGTCTGCTTTGGTCTTAACTATCTTGAGCAGTTTGGTATCATCACAGAGTACGAGTAGATCAACATCCTAAGGGGTTGGACTTTCTGATGTATTATATAAGACTGAGTGGTAATTGAATTTGGAGGCTGTCCAAGAAATGAAGAGTCTTTTAAAGGCTTGGAGAGAAGGAATCCTCAAAAGTCCTCCAGAGGGGCTGGGTAACAATAGATGGTGAAATGGGAATGAATGAAGAAGTCTTCATGCCCTTGGACTCTGTGTGGAGCACAGAGAAAAGCAGGAAGCACTCAGAGAGAATAAGGACCAGCACTCCCTATCGCCTTAATCTTGCATACTGGAGCAAGTGAGGGAGAAAAAGGTTGTTCCACAAATTCCAATTGTGCTGACTCACAGGCTAACTGTGATTTCCCTTAGCTAACACAATGGTGAACATGATTGTAAGTCACAGTCTGCATCATATTAGCTAAACACAGTTCTTCACCATGTGTTCATTAATGATACACTTGTGGGATAAAGACGTAGGAAGTGAAAGTAACAATGGAAATGTATTTCTTCCGAAGTCTCAAATTGCTTCTGAGCAATAGATTGTCAAAACAGATGCCTACCCGCAGCTCCAATTTCACCTTCAAGTTTGTGGGTGTGTGAACATTCACAATTCTGATTATAGTTCTTTCTGTCTGGAAAGATTGCTGACTGCATCCTGCATGGAGTACACCACTTACATGGAGGGACCTGATTGATATATTTTAAACAGTGGGGTATTTGGGGGGAAGATGCAACCTATGATTTCTGAAAGAACTGAGCCTGATTCATTACAAACTGGAACTGTTGTTTGTATGCAGGAATGGACGACTCCTAGGAGTTTGTGCCAGTGTAGACAACTGCCGTTTGTTTGTAGGAGGAATCCCTAAAAACAAGAAGAGAGAAGAAATTTTAGCAGAGATGAAGAAGGTCACTGACGGAGTCATTGATGTCATTGTATATCCCAGTGCAGCAGACAAAACAAAAAACCGTGGCTTTGCTTTTGTGGAGTATGAAAGTCATCGAGCAGCAGCAATGGCAAGAAGAAAACTGCTACCAGGTTTGTCTGCAGTGTTGTTTGTGCCGTTTCCTTCACTATGGAGTTTTGCAAGGTCATTTAGCACTAAAGAAACCAACAGTAAATAATGTAATTTTCAACTTTCCTACTTCCTGCTGCCCGCCTGCTGGAGAGGCAGAAAGCCCAGCCACTGATGTTCGTCACTTCTCCCCAGGTCTGGGGCCAGCCAGGCAGAGATTGATGCTTAGCCTCTCCAGCCCTAGAGGGGGCCAAGGAGGGAAGGCTGAGTCCCTAGCTGGCTGACTGGTCCCAGAACTTGCACAAACACGGTGAGAGCAAAGTCAGGGAGCTCAGCCTCGGTAGCCCCCCTAGAAAGTTGTATCAACTGGAGAGCTATTGTTTAGATTTTCCCAATGGAAAAAAATTGAGATTTGGGGGCAAACTGAAAGTTTTGATTTTGGAAGGGCATTTTCACTCAGAAAAATCATAATTAAAAATAACCTAGCCTGTTCTACTCTAATTCAAAGCCTGATATGATGTTTGCCACCATCACATGGTTAACACTGCTTCTGTGTTACACACTTTTCTTCTTCCTGTGCATAGCCTATCTATATATATTTGAAAATTCTTAGAAGAATAGACTGTCTACTACTGTGTTTGCACATTCTTGGTTGGTCCTTAGGCACAACCATAACAAACATGATACATAATCATCATCATTGCAGCTGGCATTTACACAGCACTTCAGGAGTTACACTGATGTTAGCTAACCGTCCCCCAGCAATTGACCCCCCCCTCTCTTGGGCAGTGCTAGCAGGTTGCAGGCCCCCTGAAAGAAGGAAAGGCATGTTTGCTGAACTTACAACTCCTAAGGCCCCAACTCAGGTTCTATGCTATCTATTTGCAGAGTCTCCTGTACTGAATTTGGACCTGTGCATTATTTTTACGCCACATGAGTACTGCTACTTTCCACTAGTAGAGTCCCTTGTATTTGTTTATTTCATAATGAATTAAGTGACTGGCCTGAGAACAGATCAATTATTTACTGAGTCAGGAATTTAATCCCGTATTCCTGATTTGATTTCTGTCTAATTACAGATACATTCATTTTATGAAATTACCTTTATATAAAACACACACATCCAATGCATACATATATCAGAATCGAAAGGAAAAGACAATACTTTTACAGTTCATACAGGTCAAATTAACCTCCATAATACAGTAGATTGTGTAGTGGAATTAGCCCTGCTAAGCCATTTTCTTAGTTCGAAAAGGTTTGCTAGGCTCCCTTCAGGAAAAAAGTACAAATTGGTCAATCTCTACTGAAATTCATCTCTGATAAACTCCATTTATCATTATTTGTACTGGTGACATCTATTTTACAAGGATTTTATGTTACATTAAAGAACATATTTTCCTCCCAGGATGGTGGGGGAGATTGCTGAATGTGGAAATATTTATGGGCCCTAATCCAGAAGTTTGGGGACTGCCATTAATTACATAAGGAATCAATGGTACTCTGGACCTTGCAGAATTTGGAGTATATGATCCTCGGCCCTTATTCAGTAAAGTAGTTATGAACACAGGTAGCTTTAGGAATGTGCTTAAGCATTTTCCCAAAGAGGGATGCTTTTGTAACTGAAGCTTAAGGAAGAGATCTCTACTAAGGAATTGCATTTATGCCTAGACTTACATTAAGCAAGGAATATCTGTAAATAAGAATTTACTACATGCTACATTTGAAGATGGGAGCAAAGTTTACTACATAGTATTTAGCCATGAGATCTGATTAAATTTAAGTGGGCTTGTATAGGTATTACTAAGGGACTAATATGAATGCAGTAGAGTTATGTAGGTAGCTTATAATTGGCCTATGGAATCTCTATTACTTGTGAAAATGATTGAAGTGAAAAGAAACAACTCAATTATTAGTCCTCAAGATAAATATTGAAGTGAAAAGAAACAACTCAATTATCAGTCCTCAAGATAAATTTACAGAACTGGCCTGTAGGAGTACAGCTAGTGTATGACACATCATGTGACAGTCATCATGCATTATTAATAATCAACATTGGATCTTCAAGTTGTGTGCTCTCCAAGTCAGAAAAGAGAACTAGATCTTGGTACTATCACTACTACAACATATTTAGTGTTACATGTTTATACTGAATTTGAGATACTGGGCAGAATTGTGGAATAGTGACAACAGCATGGAGATAGGGGTTAAGAGTTCAAGATACTCTAAGTAGCTCTGCCACTCACTGTGTGACCTTGTCTAAATCTTACTCTAAGTTTTCCTGATTACCAAATTGGAATAATACTTCAGAGGTGATGTGAGAGTCAAATGGAGTTTGTAAAGTGCTCCTAGATCTTCCTATGATGTAAAGTACTAGACAGTCATTTTTTATTACTCTGTATTCACTTTATCATGTAAACATAATTTAAGTTCATATGCAGCTGGTTAAAGAGGGAGAACCCCTAAAATTTGTTTCCATTTTGTCAAACAAAAAAATATTCTAGAAAGACAAAACTGCAGTGATAACTTCCACTGTTATCTGGAGAAAGTTTGTGTGCTGAACTCATTAAAATTGCCAGTGAAAAAACATTGACTTTCACAAGATCTATGATATTACTGGATGAATCCAAGACAAGACTGTGCAGAAAATAAGGTCCTTCTATGGCCATGAGATTCATGATGCTGCCATTGCACTGATTTTTAGCCTTAATACACACACACACACACACACACACACACACACACACCCCTCTCCCCAAATAAGCTAAACACACACACACACACACACTCCCCTCTCCCCAAATAAGCTACAATTTTTCCTTGAGGGACTCATCCAATGCACTGTGAAGTCAGTAAGATTTCTTTCCCTCACATAAGGCCCTCCTTATAACCATTTATTACTTCTCATTCCCTTATTTTTGGCTATTCCTATCCTACGGGGGAGGGGGGGTGTCAAGCCACTGCACACAAATCAAATTTCTGAGAATGTGTATGTCCTACTTAAATTATAAAATCACTGTCATTTGTGGAGTCCTTTCCAAACATCTGCATAAACATTTTGGAAATCAAGTAGTGGAGGGAAGGGATTTTTGGAAGAGAATCATGTTACATGTGCTCTCTAATAGGCCCATAGAAGAAAATGTCTGAGGACCGTACCATATTTTCTCTCCATCCTTGTTGGATGCTGCATGTTTGTAGTGTTAAAAGAATTAAATCTGGATATCTGACTATCTGTTTTTGGATACACATGGTATATGTGCCACTGGTTTGAGCATGACAGTTGAATTTGTATGTAAGTCGGAACTGGTACATATTGTAGGGGAAACTCTAGCCAAACATTTCTCCAGAGCTCAGTTTTATTCTCCCACACCTCACTTCCCTCAGTCCTTTATTCTCAAGCTGAGGTGTCTGCTGAGAAAAGCCGCTCCGCGTCTCCCTGGTCTGCTGGGTGGGGTGCTAGCTTTGCGTCTCCCTGGTCTGCTAGGGGGAAAAGCAGCTAGTGTGGGGGTCTCACCCCGTTTGTAAGTAGGGATCTGATGTAAGTCGGATCCATGTAACCCGGGGACTGCCTGTATATGTGCCATTGGTTTGAGCATGAGATTTTAGATCTCCCATATAATCAGGCCATTCTATTACTTTTACTCCATAGCATAATTTTATACAAAATATCAACATGCCAAGAAACCAACTGAAAAATGGTTCTTCCAATTATGTATTACTTTTGGCAGGAAGGATTCAGTTATGGGGACATCCTATTGCTGTGGACTGGGCAGAACCAGAAGTTGAAGTTGATGAAGATACAATGTCATCAGTTAAAATCCTCTATGTGCGAAACCTTATGCTTTCAACCACTGAAGAGACAATTGAGAAAGAATTCAACAATATTAAGCCAGGTAGAAAATGACAAAGTAGTTTTTTTAGCAGTTGAGGTTTTAAGTCCATTAAGTTGAGGGTTTAAGTCCATTAAGTTAGATCTTGTAGAGTTATAGTAAACTATCAGTAGTTGGTCAGTTTTTCTGAAATATTAAAATTGCCGGAACACCAACATAAAAGATAAAATAAGCTTTTTCTCCTGTAAAACCTTGGAGTGCAGAAACAATTTTCACCAAACTTAAGTTCCTAAAACAGCCACTGCTGGCATTAAATCATCCAGTAAGCTGCTTGTTTTCTAATTGACAGCACAACTGACATTGTGTATGTGAAGTCCTAAGAATTTTACGTTAGTAAAAATTATTTCTGTTGTGACGTGTTTGTGCTCTCTAGTGACTTAGTTTCTTCAAAAAGGTTCTTTTGGGGCAGTTTTTTAAACATTATGTAGATCTTACCTCCAAGGAGAGTGAGACTATGTGGCTGTGTCTAGACTGCATCCCTTTTCCCTAAAAGGGATGCAAATTAGACACATCACAATTGCAAATGAAGCGGGGATTTAAATCCCCCCCAGCTTCATTTGCATAAACAGGGCTGCCGCTTTTTTTCCGGCTCAGAGCTTCGCTGGAAAAAAGCGCTAGTCTAGACGGGGATCTTTTGGAAAATAAAGCCTTTTCCGAAAGATCCCTTATTCCTTATTTTAAAATAAAAGCCTTTTCCAAAAGATCCCTTATTCCTTATTTTAAAATAAAAGCCTTTTCCAAAAGATCCCTTATTCCTTATTTTAAAATAAAAGCCTTTTCCAAAAGATCCCTTATTCCTTATTTTAAAATAAAAGCCTTTTCCAAAAGATCCCTTATTCCTTATTTTAAAATAAAAGCCTTTTCCAAAAGATCCCTTATTCCTTATTTTAAAATAAAAGCCTTTTCCAAAAGATCCCTTATTCCTTATTTTAAAATAAAAGCCTTTTCCAAAAGATCCCTTATTCCTTATTTTAAAATAAAAGCCTTTTCCAAAAGATCCCTTATTCCTTATTTTAAAATAAAAGCCTTTTCCAAAAGATCCCTTATTCCTTATTTTAAAATAAAAGCCTTTTCCAAAAGATCCCTTATTCCTTATTTTAAAATAAAAGCCTTTTCCAAAAGATCCCTTATTCCTTATTTTAAGAGGAATAAGGGATCTTTCGGAAAAGGCTTTATTTTCCGAAAGATCCCCGTCTAGACTGGTGCTTTTTTCCGGCAAAGCTCTGAGCTGTAAAAAAGCAGCAGCCATGTTTATGCAAATGAAGCAGGGGGGATTTAAATCCCCGCTTCATTTGCAATTGCGATGTGTCTAATTTGCATCCCTTTTACGGAAAAGGGATGCAGTCTAGACACAGCCTGTAAGTGGGACAGACTCTTCAATATTTTTCTACAAAAAAATAATAATGTTGAAAAGATAATGATTCAGGATGGCTGCTGTACTCCTACCCACCATGACTGGTTGACTTTTGAAGCTTCCATTCTCTTCTGAAAAGTGGTTTTATATAATGAACATTACCATAAAATGTGGACACTGAAGAATCACAAAGCACTTGGACTCTTTAAACCTGTATGTAACTTGACCAGGACATGTAGCTGAGTAAAGATAGCATAGGGAGGGATTCAAGTGACAAACCACATGGCTATTAACATGGGAAGGAGGCTACATGCCCCCACCTCCTCTGTCTATGGCATCTGGGCATGGCCAGTCCTAACCAATTGGCAGCCCCAGGCAACCACCCAGCTTGAAAATTTGTCAAGTGAAAAAAAAAAAGATCGGGAAGTAACCAGCGAAACCTGGGGGGAGGATTCAGGTGGTTGGGCCAAAATGTGGTCGCGGCCTGCCCCATAAGGCTGGCTCTGTCAGCAGCCCCCTGAAAATGGCAGCCCCGGGCAACCGCCTGGCTTGCGTGCCCCAAGACCGGTTCTGCATCTGAGTGAGTTTGATGTGGGGTTACAGAGCTCCCACCATATAAACCATAACCCAGGTAGACTCTCCTCAGCCTTTCGGGCCACAGATGTTGCCAGACCAAAGAGTCCCAGTTTAGGGAGGTTCAACCTGTATTTCTATACTAGAACTACAGAGAGGGAGAGGGAAGTTTCTAAGGAGCAACTTTTGTGGAGCTAGATGCTTCAAAAAAACCCAGACAGCTGTTAAAATAATAAAGGGGTTAGTGGTTCAGATCTTAACACCCTCTGACTGGCCAGTGGGAGACAGGAGGAGATGCATTCCTGATTTCCCAGGCATGGATCCAACCTCTCCCAGTTGCCCATCACACTGCAAGTTCATTCATATTTCTCATGGAGTAAGATGGATTTAATTCACCTATGTTTTCCATTCTAGGGCTCACAAGGAATGTAATTATAAGCTTAATTCCCCATCATAAAAATGAATAAAATACAGAAGTTTATATAAAATACAATCCATAAATTAGACTAATATTGTCCTTATGGCTTCCATTACAGATACCTGAAAGTATACAGGGTGGGATTTTCAAAAGTGTCTATATGAGTTGACCACATAGTCCATTGAATTTCAATGGGAGTTTTGTTCCTAAATCAGTCAGAAGCTTTTGAAAATTCCACTTTATATAGCAAAGTGCATTTTAGCACTCCAAGAAATACAGTAATCTCTCCGCTACTTTCTTGTGCTCATCCTGATTAAATCATTCATGATTTACCTCACTTCTGTTACATTTCTCCTTAAAGTATAAATATATATATCACAGAGCCTAATAACTCTTCTGCTTTGTCTCCACTCCATAAATTTCTTTTCATATTAGGCTGCAGCTGAAAAAGCTATTAGATATTCCTTTATGAATCATTTTTGTCTTTTGAATGCCTCAGTATAATATTTTAGCAAACATGAAGTTGTTAAATACACCCTTTTAATTTCAGCTTCTTCCCCCACCCCTTATTAATCTCACTTTGTCCCAGGACATTTTCACCTATTAGAACTTATTTTAAAAATGGTTTATAGTTACAGACAGGCAGACTCTGACCTCACCAGCTCTCAGCACAGACCTCCTAATGCCTCAATTACCTTAGTGCCTCTTGGATATTTCCCAGGCAAACTCCCTCTGTTGGCTGCCACTCAGTTTGCGCCAGCTGCCTTTTATATAGGGCTACTCGCTCAAAGCAGGTGCCCTGGCTCAAAGCCTTGCCTCCAATCCAATCAGCCCCTCAAGACCCACCTGGAACAAAGCACTCCCAATTCACACTTTTCAAACAGACAAACACATGGTCAAACAGTCCCTGCAACTAGCACCAGTCAAACAAATAGTCAGACTGGCCCTTAGATACTGACCTCACCAACTCACAATACAGCACCACCACCTGCTCTCTCTCTCCTTCCCCCCCCCCCCCACC